TTAGCATAGAACTTACGGTTACATCTAGCCATTTCAACTGTAAGATGATGAGACCTTACCGCCAATCTAGTACTGCATTTAAACTCATAAAGTCTAGGTACCAAAGAGAAAAGCCCGCCAGAACAATTACCAATGAAAAGATGTGTCTATATATGACGTAAATATGTCGAGTAGGTACATTTATCTATCCAGCTTCCCATATCATTGCACTTAGTTCAATGGTGAATATTAATAACATATTTCGAGCATTATACAGTGATTATTACAGATCGAAATTAAGCAAATAACTACGTATTAGGCTGTGTATTTATTGATCTGTTCTCTATGTGACATTAAATGAAATGCATTACTTTAATACAGTATTTGTTACTAAATATAAATATTGTACATTTTATGAACTATTTTCTCTAAGTGTTAAATGATGTTTCATTTTGTATAATGAATCTCTAGTATGTGTTAATCATAAGGACAATGAACGGGTGATATGAGGATACGAGATTGTATATTTCTTCTTTTGGGGTGAGATCGATTTAAAACATTAATAACGACAAGCAAGACAGTAGTGCCACTAAGAGGTTAGGGGGTTACTGACTGGGAGGAGACATGAGAAAAAGAAAACATTGTTAAAAAGAGAGAAAAATAAAACAAAGTAAGACGACCGATGAAGGATTACTGAATGTTAGAGAATATGAGAAAAACTATTCTCAAGGAGAGAGAACAAGAGTTAAGGAAACAGTAGGTAACGATTGACATTGCATTTAGACTTTTGAAGATCAGAGTTGTCTGGGGGAAAAAAAGAAGCTTGAATAGAGTTCCACAAATGAAAAGAGCGATAGAAAAAAACTGTTAGCATAGAACTTGCGATTGAATCTAGATTGATACGTTATCAACTGTAAAAAGGCGAGACCTGGCCGCCAATCTAGTACTGCGTTTAAATTTATAAAGTCGATGTACAATAAACGAAAGTTCATCAGAACAAATAAGCATGGAGGTGTTTACAGAAAAAAAAACACATGGAAGCTACATGACGACGATACCATGTCAGGACCAATAACGTTGCAGATTCTTCTTTAGATTTTATTAAGAATCTCTAAATATATCGTAGTAGCATTAGACCAGATGTGGCAGCAATATTCAAAGCAAATAGAAATGGTAGACTCATAAATATGTAAGATAGATTCCATCGAGAAAACTGTCTAACATGACACAGGGAACCAAAATTCGTAGCAGCAGATGATTGAATGTAATCTTCCCACATCATGTCAACGGAAAATGTTATTTCCAGAAGGAGCAATGAGTCATTCTCCAGGAGGTTAACATGACTGATGGAAGGTAAAAATGGTTCTCTCAGACGATTAAAAGAGAAGCGTTTCATTTGGGAGGCGTTCTTACCGAATTTAATTGAGAAATCAAAAAAAAAAAAAAATATATAAAGCTTTATTCTTTTATTTTTAAATTTTAAGGTTCTTGTTCTTGATAATGACCAAGTGTACACAAGTTTGGGCGCTACCTACTTATACTAACATAAGATCCACGTTATCTTGAAATGTAAATTAATATGTTAAAAACAATTCCCGTATAAAGTCTTTAGAAAACTATATATTAGATAGATATGGATAGTATTAGGTTCTAAAAATATTACTTGAAAAGCTGGTGAGCTCGCATAAAAATTTTTGCGAGACCTGTATGACAAGTACTGCTTTACAACGTGCATCTCTGATCTATCTATCTATCTATCTATCTATCTATCTATCTATCTATCTATCTAACTATCTATCTGTTCACATCACCTGCTACTACTGGTTGTCGTCGCCCTCCTCCTCCTCTTACTAATACTATTATTATCCTATATCTAGGCTTAGCCCACTGACGAAATTTCTAATCATATGAATTTTTATGAAAACCTCAATATCCCCCGTGTCTGTTTTTCTGTCTTTCTCTTATTCTAAGCTTGTGCATTATCTATCTATCTATCTATCTATCTATCTATCTATCTATCTATCTATCTATCTATCTATCTGTATACGTATGTGTATATAAGTGTGTGTGTGTGTGTGTGTGCATATGTCTGTGTGAAACACACATTATTTCTTTTCCTTTCACACGATTTCATCAATAATCACGAACGTAAGACTGTTTAGGTCAAAACATCAACTGTTTTCTTACGAGAACAATGTCAGCTCAGTTCTGCTAATGATACGGTGGAATCAATATCCGGTACATTTTACGCCGGCAGGAAGCTTATGGCCACCTCAGCAATGGCGAAAGAGCATTTCGACACTTGGTATTTGTAAGGCTCAAGACGCCGGCAGCTGGCGACTGTCCTAACCTTCAGTAGGCGAATCAAGCCGCTGACCTTTTATTTAAAATGAATAAAAGAAAAAGGAAAAAAAAAAAAAAAAAAAAAAAGAAAAAAATCAGTGGGAGGAGGATTGTAAGAGGCTGAGCTGTTTCTTCTCACCTGATCTGCTATTTATTGAGCGGGACTTGATACAGTGTCGTTTCATGCATCAATGGAAATCAGATTGAATGTAAAAGCAAGAGGACGAGTAATCATTCGCATTTAGCACGGTGACCGGGAAAACAAGATTCATGCGAAACACACTTGACCTTTTGTTTTCATGGTTGTGAAAAGTCGAAATATGCTAAAGGGGAAAATGAGGGTTATGAAACGAACTTTCTTGTTCTTTTTAATAATAATAATAATAATAATAATAATACAGTAGAATCCCTCATATCCGAAATCCCGTATATCCGGAATCCCTCATATCCGGAATCCCGAATATCCTGACATGATTTTGATGTGTATATTTTAACTATTTGGGGGATATGTAACTGATTTGAAATTTCTGTTTTTCAGGAAATTTACTTTGGATAATTGCTTATGCTTATTTCACCCTAATGGCTTGAATTGGGGCAAAAGAGGATGGGAATAAGGGGAAAAGAACAATTTTGGATTTATCGCAAAAAGTGGAAATTTTAAACAGATTAGACGCTGGTGAAAGTTCATTGTAACTAACGGCTGAGTTCAACATAGAAAAGTCAACCCTGTATTATATAAAATCTTCCAAAGAAACTATTCTCCAGCGTTCACACTGTCACGATGAACAAGGAAATAAAAACAATGATTGTTATGAAACCAGGACTGAAAATGAAAAAGCTATTGAAAAATTTGTCAGTTTTATGGGAAGAAAGCCAGCATTCAGCTCTGACGATTGCAATAACGCATGCAGAGTTAAAAAGCGTCTTTCGTTTAAAAGATCTCAAGAACAAAAGCAAAACGAAATGCGGAAAAAAAGTTCAGAAAAACATTAGAAGAGAAAGAATCTTCATGCAACAGCGATTAAAAATCCTAGTTACATTATTTGTTTTGCATACGTGGCATACTTAATTTGATGAATTTTCATTAACATTACATAATCTATTTCTTTTTCCTTAAGATCAATTCCGTTATATTTCACTCACCATTAGCTTATTTTGTTTGCTATAAAACATTGAAAATAAATGTTAAACCTGATTTCAGTTCTTTTATTTTAATCTAAATACGACCCCTAATGTCCGGACTTTGTAACTAATTTCTCATAATAGTTTCTTTTCTCGTACTTCTCGTCTGTGGATACCTCTTCCGGCTTCTTGCTTACCTGTCACCCATGATCTTAAAAAATTTAAATTCAACATTAATCCCTATTTTCTGTCTTCCTGAAACCTGTTCTTTTATTGTCCTTTCTCCCCACTTACGCTTTCTTGGGATTTTGACTCCCATTAAGTCTTTGCGTCGATATAACCTTGGAATGGTTAATAAAAAATGTTTTTGGGGAAGAGGAGTATCTTCTTCACAGCTGGTTGTTGTGGTAAACCCTCCTGCAGTATAATGAACTCTTCCTCCTATCATAAATACAAATTGCGAGAGTCGGATGAGAAGAGGGTTAAATGGAGTGGAGTAGTAGACGCAATGCTAATCTACTTATTACTAACACTATTGTTTTGTATATATCTTCAATATACTTTTTTCTACCGACCTTCGTCTTCCGTGTCTTTTTTTCAGGCCCCTAAACAGGCCACAACACTGGTTAATAAAAAGAGGAGTATCTTCTTCACAACTGGTTTACAAAAACATTTTCAAAGCGATGGTCTTTTAGATACGTTTTCATAATTTAATTTGATATAGTTGATCTTTTTAGCATTGTCGTAGGTATTTTCATTTTTTTTTTCTGATGATGGCTATCATGCCTCGAAACATTGTTAATCTGGTCTCACAACTATCGATGAGGCGGTAGGGAAAAATGAGTAAAATAATCAAGTGTTTTATTTGAGCATTCGAACCAGGCATACATCGGCAATATTTGAACTTTTCATATCTTTGTCTACTCGCTTTATATTGTAGTGTGCTCCCTCTAATAAGGCTATTGTGGACTCTTCCACTTACTATAAAGTTAGTAGGAAAAGTAGGCCTCAAGAGAACGGTGATATAGACTGAACGTTGGTCAACTGACACACACTCCTAAGTTGTGGAAGACACTTCTGTTGTATTTACTGTTCAATACACTATTTATCTGCAATCTCTTGTTTTGTTATTCTTTAACCAATTAGTTGGTCACAACACTTTACCACGACTCCACAGAGTTCCTACTCAGATCTACTTGTTTCTGCTCTGAAGATAAACGAAATGTTCTATTGTTTGCAATTTTTTTTATCTAAAATTGATTATAACAATTCACAGCGCTTAAACAGTGCGTTGTGCCCATGAAAAATCAATATAACTTTTGTCAGTGATCAGCGAATTAATTTAAACTAATCAAGACGACAGCATCACTAACATAAAGAAGAATACGTAGGATATTTTTTTTTCGATTTTGCTAGTGTCCAACCAGTACAAGGCTCAAGAGTTATTCAAGGTAGAGGTTTAATGAACGAAGTGTTTCATATGAATTTAAGAGCATAAATTAGGAATTATGACGATAGGTAACGGGAGATCTTGAAAAGATTAAAGAGTTTATAACCAAATCACGTTGAAACATTGGTTCCCGTACGATCACTGAAGTTAAGCAACGTCGAACCTGGTCAGTACTTAGATGGGTGAGCGCTTGGAAATATCAGGCGCTGTAAGCTTGGATGTGCGCATGGTTTAATTGACAATGGCTTGGAATTTTTAATCGGAGTGGTGAGTTACAATTCAAGTTGGGTCCATTATATTCACTTACATGCAAATGCCCTTAGGAAAGATATAAATCTACCTCTTCCCCCTAGCTATGGGTTAATTAGTAAGACGTGTATTACTAAATGATTATTATCTAAAAAGAAATGTGCTGTAAGATTGGGTGTGCAGGTGGTGTAATGGATAATGGATCGGAATTGTTAATCGGCGAACCGAGTTCCAGTTGGATTCGTTATATTTAATTATGCGCAAGTACTCTTAGGGGAGGTATGAATTGCTTCTGAACTTCTTTTACCCTTCCTATGGGTTAATTAGTAAGACTTGTGTCACTAAACCATTATTATCTCCAAAAAAATCTAAAAGTATGTTCTAGTTTTAAATAAATACAAAGGGTCGATAAAGTCTGTTACGTAAAGCATTGGTTCTTTCATATTGTACACATCATCATTAGCTAGTTTGGAATAATTTTAAAGATCCTTGTAAAAATATTAAAAAATTGTAGAGGAATTGAAAAAAAATCTGATGATAGCTTTATTAAACTTAATGCGGTGACTAATGAGAATGTTGGAATATTGAAGAGACGTGATCTCGCTTGATTTCACGCGAGAGTCTAGAGATAATACGAATGAGAAAAAGATTAAAAACAATAATTATAATATGAAATTCAAATAAAATACTCTATCCAAGCCAAAGGACCAGACCGTGTCATCGATTAAGTCATGATATTCTGCAACATAGTAGGAAAATAGCCGTTCAAAACACTACAGATCAGAAAATTGTGAAAATCTCAGGACCTGGTGAGCGAAATTAAAATCTTATGGAATTTGAGGATGGTGGTAATACCTATAGGAGACACAGTGGAGTAATGGATAGCGGCTGAGATTGAGGAATCGAACCCTGTTCGAATTCCAGTCGAATCCATTGCATTCACTTACGTGCTAAAGGTATGAATCTTCTTCTTTTTCCCCTCTCCCCAGCTATGGGTAAATAGCAGGAATGAATGGCAAAGAAATGGCAACCTACTGCGGGAAAAAATCTGCCTCGTCAGTTATGTATCGTGTATCACGCATGGCACATAACTGTCTGGTAATACCCATAATCCTTATTGCATTTGGAATGATTTTGAAGACCATAGCAAAAAACTAAAAAAATGAACTGGCCCAGAAAATCTGAGGAGAAAAATGAAACTATTAGGAGACAGCACTTCATTCCAAAGGTTATTACAGGAATAAACCTAGAGAGTAAGAGGCAAATATATTATTGTATTTTCGTATCATCTTGCCATCGAGTAATTTCTATGAGTAAAAAGAGCACCGTTGGGGAGTTATGTATACACATTTGGGATGTTTTGTTTGATATACAGGGTTTGTGGATGATATGCTCAGTTCAACAGAAAATAATCATTTGTATCACTGAGATGCTGATATGTCCAGGAGTTTTACTCATATGATTTTCGGTACTCTTGTTTATCATATCTAATGCCCCTATCGCAATAAGATTTATCATAGTTTTAAATTTCCACTTTTTTTTTTTACATCGATTTGCTATTACCTATAATTTGACATTTTTTAAATTTCTTTTTTTTAGAAACATTGAAATCCTTTGGGCAAGTCATATCAAGTAGCAGGTTTCTTTTTTGAAATCATTTATGGCTATATCTGACCTATTCGCATCAAATGGAATAGACTGTAAGGAAATTTCACAATATAGTCACTCTACTATTTGTCACATTATGGTAGAGTCTATTATTATTATTATTATTAACTAAGAGAAAATCACGCTAACAAAGTGACGCTGGACTCAAAATATATGAAACTCATCGTTACAGCTTGTTTAATCACAGGCATTTTTTTTTTTATAAAATTAGCCTTTACCATTGCAGGTGGGGCCCAGGTAGAAATACTTTCAGGTCAGACGATCGCCGATTGAATGTTTCCCCAAGTATCTCGATGTAACTCCTAATTTGCCATGGTGGTTTTATTTTTCAAATACGACAACCCTCTCGATACTCGACCAGGGTTCTTTCCAAGAAGACCCGGTTATAAACAATAGATGTACAGTGTGTTAACTCCTAGGGAATATGGCCAACTGGTTATGGATATACGACCAATAAACAAAACTATTGTACTAGCCGGAGTAATTACTGTAATTCATCATAATTCAGCAAAACAGAATATGCACATGTTAACACTTGCAATTAATTAAGATCAGATTAAATGAGTATCATGCTTGGTTTAGTATCTTTAATAATAATAATAATATGTTGTAGCATGCCTACGGACGATAATGGGTGTATCACCATTCACATGAATACAGTAGTAAATACTTGTATGTTGGTCTGCACTTATAGATTCATCCCCAGCTGTGCTGATCAAACTCTCCGCGTCCAGGCTGAGAGGATCCCCAGACGAGGCTATGTCGAAGGGCAGAGTTTCGTTTCAAGAAACAGCTATCTGATCCCGTTTTATACGGGGTCTACAGAGAATTTTTGGTAGAGCCTACGGGCTAGGATTCCCCACATTAAATTCGGCCTTGTGCTACATCTAACCGCGTGGGGCGGTTGGTAGATATCCTGCAGTTGGAGATTCGTCTCCAGCTGTGCTGGTCAAACTCTCCGCGTCCAGGCAGAGAGGATCCCCAGACGAGGCTATGTTGAAGAGCAGATTCTCGTCTCGGGAAACAGCTACCCGACCCCGTTTTACACGGGGTCTACGGGGAATTTTTGGCCGAGCCTATGGGCTCGGTAACTTCACAGTAAATTTGGCCTTGTGCCACATCTTACCATGTAGGGCGTTTGGTAGATATCCTGTAGTTGGTGAATCATTGTGGAATTCAATTCACTCACTTCTAACATTTGACTAATTCTACGCGCCGTTGGCGAATCTTATATGTGTTAATAATAATAATAATAATAATTATTATTATTATTTTCTGCCATTTCTGTTGTATAAACGTTTCCTTCCGGGTCCCAACCACAGACCTAAGGTCAGAAATGACTTCATTACATTTTCCACTGATCATTTTTGTAAAAAAATATGCAAGGATTGGGCTACCAGAGATCCTTTCAAATAGTGTATGCAATCAATCCGAAGGTTCTAACTACAACTGGAATTACTGATGTCCTTATTTGCTACATTTTAGAGATTTTCAGTTCAAGTTCCGTGTATTTTGAAGATCTTCAAATATACATTACAATCTGCAGCTATTTCTTCGATAAGAAAGTATATTCTATTCTTGTGGTATTTAGTCAGGATTCCTGGACGATTATTATTATTATTATTATTATTATTCAGCCGTACTTTTGTTTTGAATGTAATTTTGAGATATTATTTTAAACTGTTCCTCAAAGTCACTGAAAGTCGACTCAGAATTTGGGAAGTGAAATCTGTATTACTCAAAACTGATTTAGGCAATTTAAGGGTAGTGAATGTCTTTTGGAACAAAGCCCAGAAGTAGGCCGCCATCAATTGTCAGTTATAATACTTTAGGACATAAAGTAGATAAAACTCAAGAACCGGAACTTGAAAATTTTCACTAAATCTTGGGTCATCAACCGATACCATATGCTGAACATCAGAAAATGCAATTGACATAGTCCAATATTTAGAAAACGCCATTGGTGAAATCTGCAAAAATACTGAAATACCGAGCGCTAAATATTTAGAGAACCCTTCATGTCACGATAGCAAAATCATCCATTATGAAGATTTAGTAAGCGTAGCTTGCTTGTTGCACAAGACATGGGGCATCTAGTGAGGATCGAACTCACTGAGCCGTAATTAATCTAGCCAGAAAAAAAAAAACTTGCTAACCATTACACCGCTAAAATTCACCTAGCAACAATGATGAAGTTATGATGGTATTTCTTATGCATATATCTAGTTTTTATCAATTTTTTAAAAGTCGGTATCACCCCCATGCAAGAAAAAAAAAATCTACTAAAACACAAAGGGGTTACAGGATGTTGAAAATTAGGAACAGAAATATTAATAATGCACGGAAAGAGAAAGGTGTATTAAGGGGGACAGTAGATAGCGATTGACATTGGATTTAAATTTTTGCAGTTGGCTGGAAAACATGGAGCCAGAAGAGAGTTCCACAAGTGGGAAGTGCGAGAAAAGAAACTGTTGATATTTATTTTATAACTGCTGTAATCAACTAGTGCCACCCATTCCCCACATGGTTGGTTACAAAGCTGACAGCCCCCACCATCTGGCTCGCTTGAGACAGGCTAACAATTCGGTCAGATGAATATTTCTATTTCGTTATGATACCCACCAGAGATTTTAAGGGGATGTAATCAACTCCTGTTACTGAAAAACTTATGGAAAAAAATATTGTATTAATCGCAGAAGTATGTATTTGGTATAGAACGAGAGAAGATTATTACTGCGTATCAGCATAAGTTAGTAAAACCTGAGAAATAGATTCGTATAGTCAATTTTTCAGTTTGTTTTAATGAAGACAGACTGATATGTCTACGCCAATAGCTTTCTTATTATTTCAAGTATTTTAAAGCTTATTTTCATTGTTCGGATACTCGATAAACATTTGATTACTCCTGTTTTTCACCCTCGAAACGTTCTGTCAGTATCTATTTGATCCACTTCAGGTACCAATCCTCCTACATAGAAGGGAATGCTGGACAACCCATGATGAGGGAAGATAGCTTAGAAAATTTAATGTCGGACATATTGAAGGCAAAAGCGACACAGGCAGAAGCATTGAGTAAGTTATTGAACGACACTGTATAAATTAATTCCCAACCTTTTTTGCGCCATCGCCCACTTTCACATGGAAAAAGTTTCCAATTCTCACCTGTATAGTATATATTCAAATATATCAAATATTCATACCATTTATTTGGTAAAAGTTTGTTACTGGTTCATAAACTGACTTTATAATGTAGTAACAAATATCAAATGGAGGTAGCAAATAATATGGACTTATGT